GTGTGCAGTGGGATATATGTTAAAAAGAGAATCAGTGAGTGACGTTCTATTCTGTACAGTGTTATATAAATAAAATAGAGAAAAAGAGAAGCAGTGTGTGGAGAAGTATTGTTGACAGTGTTGACTAAAATGACTAAAATTTGTTTTTGTCATTGTGACTAAGACAAAAAAAAAAACTGACGAAATTAACACTGAACAGATAAAACCTTTCAATAAACCAAACATTACGGCCACATATCTGACTCAATAACCATTAAAACAACTATTTTCATTCATTTCAGACAGAACTATTCACAGACTATATTAAACTGCACTTCCAATATTCACCACTATTTGGCGCCATTTTCCTTTTTCCTCTGTGCACGGAGCAGCTGGCTTGCTTGGACTCGCAATGAATCATGGGATATCCAAGGCTACGGAGGATACAGCGCACCTGTCCTTCAAAATGGGTGAATAGAAGGCTGAATTTGTCGGCCGCATAACGAGGAGTCTTCCAATCAGTCCTGACCTCGGAGCTGCTCTATGATGTCATCAGCGGAGGAATCTGGCCTTCAGAGGACGCAGCCGCTGTTAAAAGAACCCGGATCAGGAACAGGACGGTCAGGAGCACGGAGCAAATCTGCATTAGTGTGGAAAGCTGCAGGGGCCAAACCACCGACAGCTTCCTTCACTTTACTCCATTCAAAAAAACTCCTCTGATATTGAACTCACCCATTTTGACTGGGATTAATTAAATGAAGAAACTTCAGTTCAAGATAAAATTGTTTGTTTTTTATTTCATATCATAAAACCACATCTTAATGCCAAGTGTAGAAAATATAACAATTATAAAAAGTCTGCCACTGTTAGTAAAAAATTTGCATTAAATAAGCTACACAATTATCTAATTCTAAATATAGAAAATGTTTTAAATTTCATGTTAAATTATCCATTATGATTTAAATATTCATATCTCTAAAAAAAGAAAAAAATGAACTTTAGAAAAAAACAATTTAATATAAGCTTAAAGAATGTATTTATCAGTCAAATGTCCTGGTTGACTCCTGGGATCCAGATTGTTTTGTAGAAATCAGGAATGTCTGACGAACCTACGGTCCGTGAACATCTCACCTGCAGCGCATTTCATGCATCCAGTCCTGTTACAGTCGTAGCTCGTTACATTTAGCATGGCCTATAAAGCCGTCCTCTAGTTCTCAGACTTTATTAAGCTGAGTGGATCCAGATATTCTGCTCTGAATCTAAACCGTCTGACAGGTGGAGGCTGGGAGAGAAACGCTGCATTCAGAGGCTCCCTGTGATTCACACTGTCGGCTGCATCTTAGCCCTGAGTCTCTGAGAATCAGACCTTCCTTCACACTCTGACCACTAACTGGACTGCACTGAAATATGCTACAACCCCAGTGATGAATGAGTCCTATCAAAACACTGAGCAAACATGCTAACGTTAGCCTAGCTCTGAGGCCACCAGTGTTGCCAACTTAGGACGTTCGTCGCTAAATCTAAAACCATTTTTGACCCTTTTAGCACCTTTATTTCCAAAAAGCACCTAGCACCAAATCTAGTGACTTTTGCAACATAAAAGCACCAAACTCTGTCCACCTGATCTAGTGGATCTTATGCTACGTTCACACTGGATGCAGCAAAATCGCGCCTGCTGCTTCATTTTTGCTGCTTGTACCAGTTAGTTCTGATGCGCGGCTGAAGCAGGAGCCGCTAAGACCCCCACATACCGGCGGTGCACCGACAGTAGGAATCCCTTCATCAGCAGCCTCTGGCCGGGTCGCCTCCTCGCGGTTCACCGCTGCAGCTGGTAGGTGTTTTTCATCTAAATAATCCGATCTGCAGGCACCAGAATAATAAAAGCGCACATATTCTGCCGGCAGATTCCTGAATTTTAAGTTAAATTATGTGTCAATAAACTGTTTCAGAGGAGTGATCATAGTGCTCTGATCATCAGCGCTGTGTCTCTCTCACAGCCAGCTCCCGGATCAGCTCTTCTGATTGGTTGACGCGGTGCGTCGAGCAGCAAAAGTTGCTTAAACGCTTAAACGCGCCCGACGCGCTGCTTCAGCTGCTCAGACGCGCTGCGCCTGCTGCTCAAAACGCGTAGCGGGACTTTTTGCTGCACCTTGACGCGCGTCAACCATTGACTTTGCATGTAAACTCGCTGCTTCTGTCGCGCTTGCTGCGTCCGGTGTGAACGTAGCATTAAGCCTCTTTCTTAACGGTTGGGCCTGTAGTAGTACACTTGTGCGTGCTGAAAAAAACTGCTAATCTCGCCCTAGATTGTAAAATTAAATCATGATCATAAATTTTAACCGATGCACGAAATAACTGAATTTTTGATCTACATCCAGTCTCCGTGTGTCTTTGCACTGCTTCTTTCTTCTTCTTCATGTTTTTTATTTTTATTTGTTACTGCTGGAAGGCAAACAGCTAATGCAGCAATAATTTCACCGTTTGTTATGCAGTGTGGAACTACATAGCTGAATTATGTGTATTTTCTTTCCTTGTTTCTGTAAAATTCTTAATAAAACTCTTCAAATCTCCACCTTTCTTCCTCCCAGATATCCAAACTCTCTGTGCTGCTTTAACAGCCAAAGGAAAAAAACGTTGGAGGGATTCAGAATCTCCTGCAGCTGGATTGCACGAAGCATGCGAATTAGGCTATGACATCATCTAGTGCCTTTTAGGACAGCCAATACAGACTTTTCTTGCTGGGGAGTTGGCCACACTGGAGGCCCCGTCTTCTGGATGGAAACACGGCCTGCAGGGAGAGCAGTGAACAGACTAACCTGGAGCAGAACGTTGGACACAGAGAGGCGCTGAAGAAAGTAGGAACCTGGAGGATTTGGATCATAGTTCAGATAAATTCAGTGACCTTTGCTGGCATAGAGAACAAATAAAACCAAAAAGCTTTAAATTGGTTTAAAGCAAGTTCTGAATAAAATCCTGCAACAAAAACAGGAAACGTGTTTTCTGTCAGAGTGTCCGTGTCTCTGGATCCTGCTGCAGATATCTCTGCTTGCATCTTTCAGTAAAATGATTCAAGTAGAAAACTTCTGTGGCTCTGAAAGTCGTTTCATAGATTTACAGTAGCTGAAGTGCCCTGAGGTAAAGAAGGAAAACTGTTAGAAACAATTGGAAACGCCGACGTTTTCAAATTCAGGCTGGAGAAACGCAGCAGTGGGATCTGAGCTTCTATGTGTTCGAGGGTCTGGTGCTTCTGCTGGGATAGTGGGCTCTGTACTGGGCGTCCATCTCCTCCAGCCAGGCCATGCTCCAGTCCCACGCAGGGACGGCCTCCAGGTCCCTGAAGGCATCACCGTCCGGGCAGAGCGACGGGTACAAGGCGCTGAGAGGGGAGGCCGGCGGAGAGAAGTCTGAACACAGAAAGAGACAATTCTGCATCAGCCGGACTGAGCCGGGAACCAGAACCTGACGGCCCATCCAGAACCGGTTCTGGGCTGTAGAAGGCCTGAACCCCGAGAGACATTTCAGCGTCAGTTAAAACAACACTAAAGGTGAAAGAGAGTCTAAAGTGAAACAAGAAAGAAACAGAAATCTAAATATTTAATTTTTTCTCAAAATAAGTGAATTCTTTTTAGTTAGAGAGGAAGTAAGTCAGACCCTTTGCCAGTGGAAGAATACTATTTACATTTAAAATAAGAATAAAACTATTGCATTGTCTTATTTTAAGTGCATATTATCTAGTTATCTTGTTTAAAGAGTAAAAATACTCATTAGTTGACAAATCATCTTATTTACCTGCTCAAATCAAGGGTACATACACTTATTGTAAGAAATGTCTTCTTATTTCTAAATGTTTTATGCAGTCTGTGCAGCAGATTGAGTGATGGATCCATCTGGAACCTGAGATCCGGTATCAGACTGGATCCGTTGTTCTGTCAAATCAGCATACCCCATCAGACCAGCATACCTAGACCCAGACGTCAGATTTGCATCTATCCCTTTTGGACAGATCAAATTTAAGGACAGATTGTCATACGCTTAAATAAGCATCAAAGAGTAAGTAATTAAATTGATTTTTTTGTACATGACTAAAGGGATACACTCCTGTTGAGGTAGTGTCTCAAAACTAAAGGGATGAAATAAAGCGATAAATAGGTATTGACTATGTGTATGCTGGTCTGACGGGGTATGCTCATCTGACAGCGTCTCTCTGCAGAGGGTGAACATTTTTAACATCTTCTTCCTCACATTGATTTCAGAGTAGAACCATGAGAATAATAGAAATCAGGACCATGTGGCTCCACAGGCTGCGAGCTAACAATCACAGTAGGATGGCGCCATCTGGTGGATCAACATATTTATCACACTATTCAGTCAACAGATGTTTGGTGTCGACTCCTTGGATGAGTTAAAGACAGTTTATCTTTAGGAAAACGGCGCTGCTGCCGTGATGGAGTCTATGACAGGACCTAAGGAAGAAGTGCAGCAGATCCACTGATGTTTCCTCCTGACTGAATGACAGACGCTGTTACTAACTCCTGGTTCAACGTTCATGTTTTTATAGAAAAGCTAAAGCAGATGAATCGTCTGCAGCATTGAAACAGAAGATCTCAGCAGTTTGACCCATTTAGCTTTGCTTATGTTTATGAGTTATGCAGATTATTCCAGCTGGAGATCAGGATTCTGTGAGGCTTGGGCTGTGAAATGTTCTGCATTTTAACATTCAATGACAGCTGAGCAGAAAAGCTGCAGGAACAGAGAAGGATCTACAGAAGTGATGGATCAGAACATCAGAGCTCAGACATAAACATGATATTTGTTTCTACATTAACAACCGTTTCACACCTTGATGACTAAAGCCTGATTTATTCCAGGAAAAAAAGGTCATCTGTGTGTGCGTCACATTGAATATAAATGCGTATTTTCTGTTTTGTTCCTTACCGGCTTGTTTTGTTTATCTGACCGCCATTGTGGATAATGACTGGTGAAGATGGACCAGCTAGAAGAGCGAGGTGCGCAAGAACGCTGGGACCCTTTTCCCACCTGGATCCCCGCCCTTTTTGGCCCTCATGTCCCTCCGTTGTTGCACAAACTTGCCCCGACTTCCTCGCCGCCTCGGCCGTATCTAGACCCACAGCTAGTTCCTGATTGGCCCTCTGGCGTTGTGGCGTGGAATAACGTAGCGCAGACCACGCTTCTATATTGGGCAGAAATCAAAAATACCTGCGACACACTGCTGCAGGAGGAGAACCAGGCCTTTAGCCAGTGCATGCCTGACGTACAAAACATCTGGCAAAAACACTGCTATACGTTGGATAAGTTATGGGTACATTTTGTATAAGTTATGAGCACACTGAAGGACGATGAAGCACACTGGCACACATCGACATCCAGAGAGCAATTTTAAGAAGATTTCCCGCCGTATGCCATCATCTGCCATCTGTGGTCCATCAGTTCCAGGTCAGTTATCTGATGGTCGACGTTCAGTGTCAGTTCCTCATCAGTCGTGGCGTCTAGCTGATCCTAAACCTCTGAGTAACTTCTGCATAACCTATCCAGAACTTCTCTCCAAGCACATCAAGGTATCTGACGTGTTCCAGACGAGCGCTGAACGTGTTTCTAGCTTCCAGCTACTGTATAATGGCGTATTGGCAGCGTTTTGGTATAAAGGGGGTTCACAGGAGGAAACCGTCAGTTCTCCTCCAGACTTCATCCCCATCATAGGGTGAGCCAGAAGGTGAGTGATGGATCCTCCCTGCGTTCACGCCCACCACCAACACACTTCCTAGCAGACATGACGCTCAATCTGCTAACAACAAAAACCTTCTTTCTTTATTTTTATTCTTTTTGGGTTTTTTTGGCAGGCGGTAAACAGCAGCTACGTTAATAAAGAAAGAAAAAGAAATATAGGCCGGGTGCATCGCTGCTCCCCTCAGGACACTGGCTTGTGCATCATTTCCTGGGCATTATGCTGCCGTGCGTTATGCAGAAGTTAGGCTGTCGTTGGACAGAAGTTCTGGACCCATTATGAATACTCTATGTTTACACCCAGAATAGAAAAAATCTATAGAAAGTTCAGAGTATTCCAGCGTTTTAGGAGATTCTGGGACGTCAGGCAGACGCTGGATAAATCAGCATGGTGTGAGAGGAGCTTTGTTAGATGAGTACGGCTTTAGACATCATAGTAAATATCATCAAATAGTATTCTAACATCTTGTTTAAAATCCTCCTTGCATTCAGATGATATTTAATCAGTAGCTTTATTGTTTTATTGGATCACACAGAAACAAGGCCAACAAAGCCTGGTTTTAGTTTAGAAAACATGCAAATAGAAACGGAGGAACGGGTCCCCCCCTTTGGAATGGGGGTGGTTTGGCTTCTTTGTTAGCCTGCAATGCCCCATACCTGTCTATGTCTCTGAAAGGGGGGCGTTAGAGGGAATTGTTGTCCTGCTGAATAGGCGAGGTCTTCTGCTTTCCTGTAGGGAGGCTGGGGCTGTGATGATGAACCCCCATTCCAAAGGGGGGGACCCGTTCGTCCGTTTCTATTTGCATGTTTTATAAACTAAAACCAGGCTTTGTTGGGCTGCTGGATAAAACCTGGAATTAAACACTATTTCTGACATTTTGAACTGAAAAAGTTTCCTGGATGGAAGAGAAACGTCTTCAAACTTAGAAACAAACATTGTTTTTAATTTTCTTTTTTTGGGATGACAATGTCCTAATGCGCAGAATCTTCACCAGCTTCAGTCATGATTCCTACAGTAAAGCATGAATGGATAAGGGTATTAAATCAGCTATATATAGTTTATATCCTGTCAGTTCAGCAGAGTTCAGGTGTAAGCAACGATTGTAGAGATGAGAACACCTGAAGACAGTCAGAGTGTTTCTGTTGTCACTCCACAGCTGAACTCAGAAGCTCTCACTAAATTCTCATTAAGGACGACCAAACGAAGACTTTTATCAACATTCCTGCAAACGTCTCCAGTTTTGTAGGATCGTTCTAAAGACTCCCCTCAAACCACATTAAATACATTAGGGTTACCAGACGTCTTCTTTTCACGGGCATGTCCTACTTTCATACCTTAAAAACTGTCTGGAGGGAATTTTAAAATGGTCCAGGATTTTGGTCGACTGCAGTGCAGCAGAAGGTCAGCTGCAGCCGTCAGCTCCAGGGCTGCTCCGGGAACCCCGGGGGACGCAGGCAGGAAGCCAGCGGGGGACGGAGCAACCAAAGCAGTCCGGAGCCATGGATGTTATCAGCCCCAGAGCTGATGGCTCGGTTCGAATGCCCGGTCCGGTCCAGTCAGCGACCCCCCCACCTCAAAATAATGTCCCAAATCTGGTCACTATAAGCTACATGCAATCATCTGCTTTCCAGAGTAAACTCAGCTGATGTCCAAACAGCTGCCTGTAGCCTCCAAGCAGACCAACCTCCTACCAGCTGCTCACGCTGCGTTCAGGTACAGCTGAATGGAATATTGAAACAACTGCAGGAATTTAAACAGGATTTATTTTCTAATGTCAGCTCAGTGTTTTTAAAAACACTGTATGTTTGACCTTTCTTCAGATGCTTTCATTGTTAAATCATCTCTCTATCCAGGCTGCACTAGAATATGTTGAGATCAAATTGATTTCCAAGTCAGAGGCCTTGGTTCTGGATCTGGACCAGGAAAAGGAGGCCTGGATTAGATGTCCTGCCTCAAGTGGAGGAGTTCAAGTATCTTAGGGCTCTTTAAATCAATTAGGAGAGATTGATAGATGATTGTTGCAGCTGCTGCACCGGTCTGTTGTGGTTCAGAGAGAGCTGGGTCAGTTTACTGGTGGTTCTACGTTCCTACCCTCACCTATGGTCATCACATCTGGATCAGGACCCAAAGAACCAGATCCTGGATCCAAGCTACCTCTGTAGGGAGGCTGGGCTCTCCCTTAGAGAGAGGGTGAGGAGGTGGGTCATCGGGGAGAGGATCAGAGTAGAGCTGCTTCTCCTCCACATCCAGAGGAGTCAGCTGAGGAGGATCAGATTACCCTAGCAAGGCCTTTCAGGTATGTCCCACTCGGAGGAGAATCAGGGGACAAGATTTGGGAGGCTGAGACTGTTGCCTCTGTGACCCAGTACTTTGTGGAAGACGAGGATTATGGACACGAAAAAGATATTTATCATAACTCCTTACCTGACAGAGAGGCTCCACTGCGCTCTGCAGCCACAGCCAGCAGGTGAGCAAATGTGGAGCTGTCGTTGGTGTAGCAGCTGTCCACAGAACTGATGAGGCTGGTTCGGTTGCTGTCCATGGCAGAGCTCCAGGTGTTCCACAGAGAGCTGTCCCAGTCGCTGTAGCAGGAGGATGGCGAGCTCTGAAAGCGAGGACGATGCAGCATGGCCTGTAAAGATGGAGTTCCAGCAGGTGCCTCCTCATCCTCCAGATCAGCGGAGCTAACCGGCCCACAGGTGCTGCCCAGGGTGGAGGAGAAGCTGAGGGGCAGGGAGGGCAAGACACTGCTGACCCAAGGAGAGCAGCTGTCAGGGAGAGAGCAGACATCTGGAGAGAAGGAACTGGAAACATGTCTGTACCTGTATCTCTCAGGTTTTGGGCTGAGCTCCAGGTACTCGGTGGCTTCCTTTGCTGTCAGGGAGGCACTCTGATCGTTATCCATTAAAGTGGAGTATGATGCAGTGGACGGGTGGCTGGAGCTGCGCCTGATGTCTCCTGCTTGTCCACGGTAGCCTGATGAAGGACTTATTGAAGGGATGGAGCCCATGTCCTCTGTAAGCTTTGTGGACTCACTGGAACTGAACACAGTTTGAAAGACAAATTCAGTCCAAAAACAGCAGAAATCTGGATGAGAGGAAAAACTTTTGACACAGAACCGGACATAAAACCATCCCTACAGCAGAGTCCTGATGAACCAGCAAAGGACAGAGGATATCTGTCCTCAGCTGATCGACATCAGCAATTCTGACCATAGAATTAGCAAAAAAAAATCTAAACAAATCTATTCAATTTAATTCAGTTTATTTTAGGTTTATTTCTGTAGCTCCATCTCAAGGCCCTTTTCCAAAACTATTCAACCAGATCATCCAGTCACGTTGATTCAACGTTTTCTATCTAAGGAAAACCAGCTGATTGCATCGACCCATTGACTCTTCAGCAATCCCTGACAC